ATTTGTTATGTTAGTAAAATATAATGTTTTTGTCTTTGACGCTATGTTGAATACCGTATCAGTAAAATCTAATCTCTATCCTAAATCTATTTTCTTATTTTTCAAATTATAATTATAACGTTATAATTATAATATTAAAAAAAACAATACATTAATTGACAAATGTTTACGTAATCATGGGGGAGGGGGTAAGAGCTTTACTTACTTTTGCTGACTGGGGGATGGGGGGGTAAATAATTGTAATAAATCTGCTTACGTAATACTTGAACGGCCCCCAAGCAAAATTACAGACAAATATCAGAATTTCCAAAGATCTTTGAGCGGGCAGTGTATACGAGTATAATCAATGCTGACTCTACTGTAAGATTCAACATTTGATCTGATACCCATCATGGTCGGCAAATCATGACAATGTATTGGTGGTATACGTACGTAATCTTTGGCTTTCTCCAGTTTGCGCATCAATTCCTGTTCCCTTTTTTGTTCGGCGGCGGTCAGTTTCGTTTCTAACTTGGACACGGTCTCAGACTTACGACGTTCTACGGACTGCTTAACTTCTACCACTTGCTCATTCTATGTAAAAGCAAACAGAAATGCGTGCATAAAAACAAAATAAAAATTAATTGTCGAGCGAAATAAATATTCAAAATACAAAAATTATTTGAAAATCAATATAAAACGCTAAAAAATAAATGAAGGGTGAAATGTTATATTTAATGCATGCCAAAACAGCTGAACCAAACAGAATGTGCAGTTCTATAACATGAGTATAGGTTAATTTGTTTATTTATATACGTAGGTAGGTCTTTTCACGGTTTTTGGTGGATTTCTTTTATCGCTCTTCAAAGTTGAGCGAAGGAAGGATTTTTCACAAAAAAAAATGAATTTAAGATTTTTTGCGTTGATTTTTAATAAGCTCTGTCAAAAAGTGACACAGAACTCAGAAAAAAAATCACTGCCCTAAACGTAATGGTTTAGTTGTAATTGCGATTGAAAGTTCATTATCCCGTTTTTTTCGAAATTTCACAAAATTGCAAATATCTCCAGAACTATAAAATTTCGGACCACACATGTAGGGGTTCATTCGATACGTTTTGAAGCCCTCCAACACCTGACTTCCGTTGATCCACAACTAACTTGTATATATACTAATATAAATATATACAGGGTGACTTCGAAGTTGAGTCATTTATTTTAACAGTGAGTAGATCTGATCAAAAGAAATGTTTTTTTCCTTTACCATTTTTCTGGTAAAATTAAAGTAACAAAGTTATAGCCCTTTGGAAGTTTGAGTACCGCCCTGTCTCAATAATAATATCATGTGCTCGTGTTTGGCAACAACGGATATAATCCGCCTTATCGGTTCATCGCATCGGAAACAAAAAAGCGAAAGAATTTGGAACGATGTTTTTGCAATTAAGTATTTTATTCAGTTCAATTATACATACAGTCAGTGTCTGTCGGTTAGCGTGTGAATAGTGTCTGTTGCGTGGCTCAAACGAAATAAAAAATGGCACATGTTTATGCGGATCGGTTTCCAATCGAGTGCAACCAACCCCTCGTGCCTTTGTTAATGTAGTACAACGGGCTCGTGAATCAGGTGACTTAAGACCTCACAGGGGACCTCACGATCAAATACAGGTCCGCACTGAAATACTTGTCGGGAGGATACTTTATAAAACAAGGTAAACATTTTTTTTTATTTTTACACACATATTCTGGTTTATCTTCCTTCTACAATCATTATCTGAAAATTAATGACTCAACTTCAAAGTCACCCTGTATAAAATAGTACTGTCTGAAGCTAAAATTACAATGTCGACAGACCGTGTTGAAGAATCTAGTATCTAGACTGAGAGTACCTATGAAGGGCGAGGCGCCACAGTGACTGCAAGAAACAGTGCTATTTATCTTTATCACACGGATAACTGGTTAATGTCTGTTTTTCTTTGGTAAAAGAGTGTACATGTGAGACCGAGTTTCAAACACTTCGTACGTAAGCATCAGCCCTATCGTCACGAAACAATATGTACAAAGATATTCATTCATTTATACCGTTTACTGTTACTCTATTTTTATATATATACAGTAATGGACAAAAATATATAGACAAATATGAATATTTACCTAAATACCTTTAGAAATCGAATTCATACTTCATTGCTCCATAAACAAATGCGTTATTAGTAGAAAAAATAAATTCCTTGTTTTTACATTATCTGCAATGAACACAATTCAAGTCTGAATATAAGCACTTTTTTCTGAGGGACAAAATATGTAGACAAATTCTTTTCAACATTACTTTAGTACAGTTTCGTGTCAGAAGAGGATTAGTTTGTGTTCATCAAGTATTGTAGAATAAGTTGAGTGATTTAAGACCATGCCGCGTGGTCCATAAATTTCATTCGATGTGAAAACTAAGATCATTGAGTTATACAAAGATGGTCAACGTCAAGTCGACATTGGCAAAAATTTGAAGCTGAAGCGTAAAGCAGTTTGGGGAATATTGAACAAATATAATCAAAAAGGTATCTTGGAAGCC